ATTATTTTTGGATTAGCTGTAGCAGGTGGAGTGAAGCACCACCAATATGGCGACAGCCAGACTTAAGCTTTCTTTTATATACAGTCAATGATGCAGACCTACTGTACTGGGATAGCCATTACCAGTGTCTAGAGGTTACCAAAATTATGAAAAGAGTAGCAGTGACCTGATCGTTTGCCTTTCTACATTGTGCAAAATATCTAACAGGTTAGTATTGAAGCATTGCAGCACTGTCTAGCATTGACATGCACAAAAGCACCTGAGATCCCACTATTCATCTGATTTTGAAGATGAAGAAGAAGATGGAGGCTCTTGAGCAGCCAGTGAATATAATTTGTATCTGCAGTATGTGGTCTTTGTGTGTAGGTACAGTAGGTGTGTGGGTAGTTGGCTTTTAACAGTATTTTTTTTCCAACAACTTGTGCCAATTTCTGGGGAAAAAAATGTCGCAGTTCTGATTTTTTTCCAATTTTCACAACTGTACAAGTCTGATTTGGCAAAGTAGCAGAACTGAAGTTGAAACCTTGCATATATCGTTAATGTATAATATAAATAATTTAGGTCCCAAAACAGAACCTTGAGGCACTCCACATACAATATCCAGCTCACTCGATTGGTATTCACCCAACTTCACAAATTGACGCCTCTGTGTCAAATAACTTCTAATCCATTTCAGAACCATTCCTCTGATCCCATATTTTTCTAACTTGTCCATTAATAATTCATGATTGATTGTGTCAAATGCTTTTTTTAGGTCAATAAATATTCCCACCGTGTATTTCTTCTCATACATAGCACTTGTAATGTCCTCCATCAGGTCGGTAATGGCCAAAGATGTCGATCGGTTCGACCTAAAACCATATTGGCAATCAGAGAGGATTTTATGTTTGTCAATAAATGTATCTAATCTGTTAAAGAGGTTTTCCAGACTTTTTGAAAATTGTGACAACAGAGAGTCTGGTAAATGAATGAATGGTTTAATACATAGTGTGGTTTGACTGAATCGATTTAATCAGGGTCTTTTTTGCTTTGTAAGTGATATATATGTATATGTATTTGTGTATATATATATATGTATGTATATGTGTGTGTGTGTGTGTATGTGTATATATGTGTGTGTGTGTGTGTGTGTGTGTGTGTGTATATATATATACACATATATATATCTGAATGTATATTTTATGTTTATTTGTTTACATCATCATGTGGGGCCTCTAGTAATGCAAAGGCAGAATTTTATACAAATTTTACGCTATAAGAGCGGGGTTCTGTCACCTTTTCTGTTAGTGTGTGCAGTAGAAATAAAAGCATTAGCGAGGTGGTTAAGACTACATCTAAAATCATTGGCCATTCAATATGAAGTTTTGAAAAATTCTGAATAGAAGCATGAATGTCCTGGACATTTTGATACCTGCAATAGCTGAAGGCAGGCTAAAGTAGAATTTTCCCCATTCATTTGAATGGGGCAAAACTTTCAAAATAAAGCTAAATATTTCAAAGGTATGAAGTTTAGAAAAATTCTGAATAGAAGCATGAATGTCCTTGACGAGCTGAACATTTTGATACCTGAAATAGCTGAAAGTATGCTGAAGTAGAATTTTCCCATTCATTTGAATGGGGCAAAACTTTCCAAATAAAGCTAAATATTTCAAAGGTATGAAGTTTAAAAAAATTCTGAATAAAATTATGAATGTCCTTGAAGAGCTGAACATTTTGATACCTGAAATAGCTGAAAGTATGCTGAAGTAAAATTTCCGCATTCATTTGAATGGAGCAAAATTTTCAGAGAAATTAAATTTCAATTTATTTTAAATATTTTGAAATTCTGGCATATTTTGGGGATTTAATGTAATCTTAATGTGCAAGCTTATTTTGAAAATCCAGCACATTTTGGGGCCTTTATGTGAGCTTAAGTTGCATTCAGGGGCTTTTATTTTGAAATTCTGGCACGCTGTGGGGCCTTCATATAAACAATATGCAATCAGAGACTTTTATTTTGAAAACTTGGCATATTTTGGGGACTTATTTTTAACTCTTATTTTGAAGACAGACCAACCTCTGTCTGTTTGTGTGTGTGCTACTGCATGTTATTGTATTGCTATGTTTGGGTTTTACTTTGTTATGCATATTATTCTGTTGCTGTTTGTGTGTGTAAAAGTAGCAGGTGCATCATGAAGTGACTCAGCAGTTTGAGGACACTGCAGCAGATTTCAGTCAAACATGGGCTTCGAACAATTGACAATTGAAGAAAAAGTCCTATCGAAAAATATCTCGACTATGAATGGCAGGTAGCTTCAACAAAAATGTTGCATCACCTTTATGTCAATATATTCCAGAAAATGAAAGAGCTGTGGCGATTTACTTATGCCCTAACTTTTGTTTCGAGAGGGTTTTCTGAATCTTCTTTTTGAATGGAAGTCTATGGAAGAGTGAGGCAACATTCTCTCTGGAATGTGCAACGTCATTCAAAAACTGTTCATCCTATCGCAATACCAAGACCGTTTTCTGATTCTTCACAATTTTCTCTACCGTTTTCATGTATAATTTGTGTGTGAAAGCTTAAAGTAGGTAGAATAAGAGCAGAAAACACTGAAAAATTGTGAAAAGGCTGAAGGACAGAGCTAGAGTACAGGTCATGTGACACACTCTAGCAGACAAATTTCTGAAATCACCATAAAACGTAAACTACGACAATTCAAAATCTCTAAAAGATATCAAAAAGCTGAATACATGTTTAAATAGCTGACGAGTAAAGTTAAAGTTGGAATGGTTGTTATAGCTAAAAGTATGCTGAACTGGTTAAGACTGAAAGAGGAGGAGGATTTGAAGAGTTTCCCATTCATCTGAATGGGGCAAAAATTTCTGAACAAGCCTAAATATTTTAAAAAGCATAAAAGTTACATTAAATATACACAAATGTTATCCTAAAAAACTGAACATTTTGATACCAGGATGGCTTTTCTAGCAGAAAGTATGCTAAAGTTATTAAGATTTGAAGATTTTCCCATTAATTTCAATGGGCAAAATTTTGCTAATAAAGCTAAATAGTTTAAAAAGTATAAATGTTACAAACAAGAAAAATACAAGCAAGCATGTCCTTAAAAAGCTGAACATTTTGATACCTGAATGGCTTTTATAGCTGAAAGTATGCTGAAGAAATTAGGTGACAAAAACAGAATAATAAAAAATAAATGCCAGGAAACCAGAGTGTGGATGCTGCTGCTAGAGCTGCTAAATCAGCATCCACACAATAATTGGATAACATACTGTGGATGCTGCTGACTCAACTTCCACACAATAAATAATTGGATAACTGTGTGGATGCTTTTCAGCATCCACACAATAAAGAACAGGATATCAATAGTGTGGCTGCTGACTCAACATCCACACAATAAAAATAAAGACCAGGATAACAATAGTGTGGCTGCTGATTCAGCACCCACACAATAATTGGATAATATAGTATGGATGCTTTTCAATAAATAATTGGATAACATTGTGTGGATGCTTTTCAGCATCCACACAATAAAGACCAGGATGACAATAGTGTGGCTGCTTCACGGCATCCACACAATACGCAAAACTCACAGATATGTAATGTAATCTAACAGTTGCAAACTATGGATTGATTTTTATGCCTTATTTTTATAGTGAGAATAACACAAGTATACACTACAACTTTTTCCCATTTTTTTTTAATTGTTTATAAAATACAAACATACATACGTAAGAGGAGGCCATGTGTCTGAGAGAAACAGAAGACAGCACTGAAAAATGTTTACTAGTGAGAAAAAAAATCTCATTCACATAATATCGACAGTGAAGAGTAAAGACATGTCAAACTGTGAAATAAAAATCACATTAAAAGAAACAAAATGATAAAATACTGCAATATAAAAGCAGCTAAACCTCAGATCTGTTAAGATGGTGTAGAGGAGGAGGAGAAGCATGACAGCACAGAGAGTGGAGGACTATCTAGACACAGGATTTTCATTGTGTGTTTGTCCACCCACTGGGCACATGGAAGCTCCCACACAGACTGACAGTTGCATTTCAGTGAAGCCAAACAGAACAACAGTGACAGCTGTGGGAGGAAAAAAAAACCCTGTAGGTCTACTCCTAGACCACCGCTTTGATCATGTGTGACAAAGGAAATAAGTAAAAAGAAATGGGAAGCCCGTCTTCTCAACAGCCTTTATAGAAACACCATCCTCCTCCATTCCCACATGCAGAGCTTGTAGTGTGCCCAAAGTCAACTTGGTTACACTCTCATCGGAACCCCCTTTATATTCTGAGCCATGAAGTCAATATTATTTGTACACCAAGGCTTGTTTTTTTTTTTTTTTTTTTTTATAAACTACAATCATCTGTTTCGAGAGCAAAAGCAGTTTCCTAGCATCTTATTTATTACAGTGAAGAAGAGGCTACAAGGCAGGGAGGGATGGAAACACTGAAGAAAGACCACAGAGGGAATGTGACAAACACAGCAGAGATGCATTGATTAACAAAGAGCTTTTCTACTTCATATATCATTTTCCCCTTGCAAAAGCACTGAGCAAGAAGACAAGTCCCTAACTTTAAGCTCATCTCTATTAAAAACAACTACACCAAAACCCTGCTCTAGTTCCCGTCTCAAGCACCTTAAAATTAAGATTGGCTTTGTTCACCGGCTAGTGCATCCCCTCTCATATGTATGAATATATGTATGTTCATATGCAAGTGGCGGAGCATCACCACTTTCATGTAATGTCCCTACCTGAAATGCATACATACATTAACATAAATACAGCCTAGGAGACACATAGCCACAATACTGAAAATAAACACTGTCAACAGGCGGTATGCTGACATGATTCACCAGAGGATGGCAAAGCAGTAGACACACACAGACTCAACCGCTCTGTGCCTTTATGCTGCTGGGTGAATGCAGACACAAAATGTTTATCTGCTCACTGCAGTCAGAATACAGAGAACACAACCGATTGCTGAGCTGTGATTTTACTGTACACTGGGTTTAGACTTAGCAGTTTGTGTTTTTAGTTCTTACAGTTAAGACTAAAGGTGTGTGGTGAGGAAAAAGGAGAGAGGGTTGGTAAGGGCTCAACACTACAATTGTCCAATCACCGCCATGTGGAAGAAGAAGGAAGGTGGTTCACTGGATGCTCCTGGCAGAGCCAAAGGTCTCCTGGGAGGCGTACACCATGTAGAGGAAGCCATCTTGGTCCCGCTCCCGCTCGTACACCTCAGAGATGGCAGCCGACACAGACACCATGCTGTGGCCGTTGACCAGCAGGAAGAAAGCCTGGTTGGAGTTTAGCTGGAGGCGCCTCCTGGTGGCACAAGAGAAAAAAAAGGAAAGAGAGGAAAAGAGAAGATGAGCATAATGGAAATGAAAGGAAAAGAGGAGAAAAAAAGAATGGAAAGGTAGAAGAAGAGATAAAGAAAAGAACAAAATAAAGAGGAGGTGGGGTGAGACGAATTGAGCTCTACCTGATAATCTTGATAAGCTCACTCATGTTGACGTGGTCTGGGACCAAGAACTTGGTCTTGTCCAGGATGGGTAGCTGTTTTTCTCCTTTATACCTCTCAATGATCACCTGCAGGAGACGCACACATATTAGTCAGTGGATTCTCCCTCTTTGTTCTAGAGCAGAGATCACTAACAGGCACTAACACTAACTGCGGCCCGGGTCCAGACCTAGAAGCTGTCCCATACGGACCCGGACCTACAGCCAAAACAGAAGGTTATGATTTAAAACCTGACGGGGTGCATCTATTTTAATCGGCGCAGTTTTTGTAGTCTTTGCGGTTGTGGTTTAGTGGATGAGGAAACGCACAGAACAGCCATCCCACGTGATACCACTCAGCCAATCAAGTCTGTGCATTCCAGGTAGTAAACATTGCGACTCTAGAGAGTTAGAGGCAAGTTACACATGAAAAGACGGTAGAAAGAAAAAGAAAGATAGCGATATATGTAGGACAGAACCGGAGAACGGGAGATATACAGACGACTATGCCGGGAAAAGTTGAAGACGTGTGAGACGGAGAAAGGGAGAGAAAAATAAGGAACAAATGGCACTCTCCAAGAAAATAAAAGTGGACAGTGAAAATAGAACATTTAATCCAGAATGGACAGACTCATTTCTGTTCATACTTACCACTGGGAGCACTAAACTAGCGTGTCTCATGTGTTCAGAAACTGTGACACTTATTAAAAGTGCCAATGTGAAACGCCATTATGAGACAAAACATCAAGGTTTTGAACAAATGTACCCACTCAAATCTGAAGTGAGATCACAGAAAATAAGTAGTCTCAAAGACCAATATGACCAGTCCACCAGGATCCTGAGCCCAACAACGTGCTCATGAGTGTTCCCTCATAGTTGCTTGGATTTTGGCTCAACACAAAAAGCCATTTACTGATGGAGGAGTTGTCAAAGAATGCATGAGTGCTGTAGGTGAAACACTACATTTGGGAAAACAAAAACAAGAGTTTTGTGATAAAATAAAGCAGCAAATACCCATGTCAGCATCATCTGCCACAAAGAAAAGTGAAATACTACTTTTATTTAGTAGAGAGAATATTAATACATTTTGCTATATTACACAGCCTTATGTTGGTTTACTGTTTACTTGCCCCTTGCATGGGGATATGTACATACAGTCAGGGAAAAAATTATTTGAACCCCAGCTGATTTTGTAAGTTTGCCCACTAACAAAGAAATGATCAGTCTACAATTTCAATGGTAGGTTTATTTGAACAGTGAGAGACACAACAATAACAAAAAAATCCAGAAAAATCATTACAAAAAAAGTTATACATTAATTTGCATTTTCATAAATGAAATAAATATTTGATCCCCTATCAGTCAGCAGGATCTCTGGCTCC